CTAGAGTGCGTAAAGTTTCATCCCTAACCTTGGCTATGGAAAATTAGCTAGAACAACTCATAATGAAATTACAGGTATTGAAATGATGAAATACAATGAAATACATAAAAAGATAATACCACAACTCCAAGCTATGGTGGACAATGGAATCCCCAATGGTAGAACTTCACCCAAGACCAAGGGGTTGATCTTGGAGTGCTAAAGTGTAAGTAAAGTGTATGGAATATGGAATAATCACTTGAGAGGGCTTCCATATGCTTAAATATTGGGTCTTCAACGGCCATTTTTGGACAAGGAAGCAAGCTCCTTAATGGGGTTTGGAGCTTCTCTCGAATGATTGTGATGACCGTTGCCTGTTTTAATCAGTGCCAGACGAAAACCGGGCGACATTCGCAAAAGCCGGGCGGCTTTTGCGCGTTTAAAATAGCCTGCCTTCGCTCCAGGGCCCGAAAACCGGGCGTCATTTATAAAAGCCGGGCGGCTTTTGTAATTTAATTCTGAACAATTCATTCGGCGACCAAAAGTCGGCCGGGTTTTACGAAAGCCGGGCGGCTTTCGTCCTTTCTTGCTCCGGATCAGTTTTTCCAGTTTTGGACGCGAAAATGAGCTTGGGGACCAAAGGCCGGCCGCCTTTGGCATAAACCGGGCGGCTTTCGTCCGTCTTGGGCCTTTTTGTGGTCTTTATTTGTTCCTCGGGATGCGTTTGGTTGACCTTTTTCCGTCGGTTTCTTCGTGTGTATTCTACCATCCTTGTATTTGATCCAATCGTTGATTTAGAACACTTCTAGCAAAACGAGGCAGATGTGTGAAGATTTTATTCTTTTTACACATGAAAGCGTTTTAAGGTGAATATATAAAACACGTTAATAAAACGCTTTCAAATTGCTAATTTAGTAACAACTAACGGATAACCTCGATAATAATATTAATAGTAATTTACTCCGTATGTACTTATTATGTGCTATCGTACTACGTACGTTTTACCGATCTTGATAAACATGTCATGCGAATCACACGCCTATGTATCCAGACTGAAAAGAGACTATGTACATTACTTCTATGTCGTATAATAATATACTCGAGATATATTCATTCCTTATATACATCCTGGGATTATATGGGTAGAAGCAAACAAGGAAACCTCATAAGTGGAATTAAAAGCTATTAAGAGATATTTAATTAAATAAGGATAATATTCTATTAAGGGTAGAAGTTTATTTACATTAAATATCTCTTAATAGCTTTTAATTCCACTTATGAGGTACTGGTGTGTAAAATAACAATAAAAAAAGTGCTACGCTAGCTAGTACGATCGGGTCCAAACATATATGGTAATGCTTATAAATTAGATGTGACTTTTCAAACTAACGTATGTACTGTACGTACAAACACAGCTATATACTTGTAGTATATTCACGCCATATACATGGTAGAATCAAACTAGGAAACTTGATAAATGAAATTAAATGCAAAAGATTTGTAACCCACGGAAGTTATACGGCAAACATGGCTATATACATTAGGTTTATGATACTTGGGCCGTATAAAACTTAACCTAATCGGTTACGCTCAATGATGACCTTAAATTAGAACGTAACCTTCACTCTACAACTATAAATAGCGTCCATCGCCCTGCGTTTTTATCCATTCACAAAGCTGCGAAATATGTATACATGTATGTACGTATATTTATACAAAACCCAACTTTTCGCTATACACAAAACCTGAGCCATAGATCGACCACTTTAAACCCTCGGCCAGCGAGTGAGGAGGAAAACAAAAGTGACAGAGTGAAACGATCGTCAGGAGAGGGAGAAATCGAGCGCCGGGTACTGTAATTTTGTCGCCGGAGTTAATACCGGAGAAGGACCAAACGCTAGGGAACCACCGTTTTGTCTGGAGGAGAGGAAGAGGTGTCGCTACTGCCGGATCAGTCTGCTGCTTCTAAACGCCGTCGCTGCGCATTGCTTGGTTCGCCGGTGCTGAGCAACAAAGGAGACGAGTACGTATGTACTCTGTGTTTCCTTTTGTTTTACTACTTAATACGTATTCCATTTCGGCTACTGTTTATTAAAGAAGAGAAAGGAATGGCTAAATTTGGGCTAATAACGGGATGGCCGAAGATTGTATTGGAATGATTATAAAAGTAATAGTAATGCAATAATGATTGGATTAAAATAAAAGTGGGTTAAATTGGGTAAATTAATAAAAGTAGAATAATGAACTAATTATGAAATTGTAATTAGAAGGTGACTCTACCTAGAGACCGGAATAAAAGACGTGAACTAGGAGCGTCGCCAAGTTGAGGTAAGTTTCTCTGCCGATCCAAAATGGTTTCCTCGTATTATATATGTTATTACGTGATTAAAGTGTGATTTTTGAATATGTATTATTTGAAGTGTCATTACATTTATAGTATTTGAGAAAGTTGAGATATGGGATATTAAATTAAGTATTTTTAAACACCATTGAGAATGATTGGAGACTTGAGAAATATTCTGTGTTATGTGATTATTATGTGTTATGTGATTATGTTGTGAGTTTTTGAATTATTTAAAGAGATATTAAATCTATAGTATTTGAGAAATACAAATTATGTACTTTTGGGGTATTAAATATTTTTAAATACCTTTTTGACTATTTAGAGAGTTTGGAAATATTTTGAAGTATATCTTGATACAAGATGAAAATTAACATTTTCATAAGAGGTGAGCACCCCGGGAGAAATCCGTGGTGTCGGTTTTTCACATCCGGATAAATGTGGAGGATTGTTAGGGCTACTACTACTTGAAGAGAACAAGTTTAGTAGTCGTTTCGATTCAAGAGATAGTGATGGGAACCGGATTCCGGGATGAATTCGTAAATAACAAACGACTCATTGGGCTTCGGGCATAAGTATCCGAAAGTACCGCTCATCTTAAAAGAAAGTAAGAGATTTTGATTTTGGAAAGAGGAAGACTATGGAAGAGTTACTATATTATTTTCAAAGAAAAGTTGAGGACTTTAGTAAAGAAGTGATTTTGAGAAATATCAAAGAGAAAAGAATTTTGGTGGACTGTGTCATTTTTATATAGTATTATATGAAAAACTATTTTTCTCCAAACCTGATTATTTTACGGGGTTGGGTAGTACTTACTTATCTCTAAAGCTAATTTTTGTTTCCTTTTCCCTGTTTTGTTTTCTGCACTTTATTTGTGCAGGTGATGATGCTTATGTGGACTGATGATTGTATGACCACGCGAGCGGTTTAGAAATGCCTTAGTCAAACCTAGTCAAGAATTATAATTCAATTATGTTGAACACTTGTTTAATTTTGTTTTGTTTTGGAATAGCCTGTGCATTCGGTTAAGAGATGACCGGATGTGGCGGTAACCCCATTTCCCAATTAATGTTATTTCCGCTGCAAAACTTTTTATCTGTTTTGAATGAATAAATCAAGTTTATTATCAATAAATCTATTATTTCAAGTATTATTTTGGGAGGGAAAATGGGGGTGTTACAAATTGGTATCAGAGCCCGAGGTTATTTTCTCGGGATTTTTCACAATATTTTTCAAAAAGTTTTCCAAACAATTATTCAAAACAAATTTTTCTAGGAAAAGAATATGACTAGGAAAAGACCTCTTAGGAACGTGGTGAGGATGTGAGACCTTTACGAAATTGATCAGTATGATCGAACGGTGGAAATTCATGGAATTACTTGTTTATGTGAAATGTGTGGAGTTTGATAGCATCTTTGAAATATCTATATGTGATAGAATTTAGATAGAGACTTGATGAATAAATTGTATACTTATGATAGCGTAGAGGCCTTCTAAGTGCCTTAGTACTTTTGAGACTCGTGAAATTAGAAGCTAAGTGGTCAAATTCGTGGAAGTCTTATGGTCATGTTGTTTGACCAAAAATACCACTTGGAAAAGCTAGGTCGGTATGCGCAAAGGCTATCTCGAGTTATTTGATTAAGTAGTATTTTAGTTACGGGGACGTAACCTCTCTTTAAGGAGGGTAGAATGTAATACTTAAGAATTTTGATATTGGATTTTAGTTTATGCTTCGGGACGAAACATCTTTTAAGGGGGATAGAATGTGACACTCCGAAAATTTTAAATAAAATAAAATGCATAATTTTATTAGTCAGATAAAATTTTACAAACGTGACACTTTTAGAACTTAAGTAAATTATATAAAATTCTAACGTTTGTGACATTTTATTCGGATAAAACTATTTCAATGATAGAAGTGGAATTTTGTTTGATAATTACAAAAGTGATTTAGCAAATAATATTTTTAACTTATAGAAAAAGTGTCGTTTTTAAATATGAGTTAATTATGTTAAATTTTAAACCTAATACTTATATACGTACATAGTACGTAGTATAATAACAATATAAAAGAGGATCGATCTATATCTGCTAACACACATTAATTGCTAATTTAGTAACAACTAACAGATAACCTCGATAATAATATTAATAGTAATTTACTCCGTATGTACTTATTATGTGCTATCGTACTACGTACGTTTTACCGATCTTGATAAACATGCCATGCGAATCACACGCCTATGTATCCAGATTGAAAAGAGACTATGTACATTACTTCTATGTCGTATAATAATATACTCGAGATATATTCATTCCTTATATACATCCTGGGATTATATGGGTAGAAGCAAACAAGGAAACCTCATAAGTGGAATTAAAAGCTATTAAGAGATATTTAATTAAATAAGGATAATATTCTATTAAAGGTAGAAGTTTATTTACATTAAAATTTGTTTCCTTCTTTGTGTTCTACCAATCCAATTTGATCGGCTGTGTATTTATTCTGGCCGATTTGGCCATTGGCAATACAGAAGAATATTTCATCTTTTTTTTTGCTCTACCACACCAAATCATATGTATTTCAATAAAAGCCAAATATTTTGACCTTATTATTGATAGCGTCGAACTAAAACCTTCCTCCTAGGCTATTTATACTCTTCGAACGATAGACTCCTCTACACCCAAAACAGAAAACAACTCCTATTGCTTCGTGCAAAACATGAGAAGTAGAGAGGGGATATCAGATAGAGAGAAAGGAGGTGAGAATAGGGGGAAACGATCATCGCCGGAGGTGCAGTAGCAAGGTCGCCGGACTGTTTTCACGGCGGATCGGAGGAAGAGGAGAAGGCCGGAGTTGACGCCGCCGGACCAATCTGCGGTCGCTGAAGGATGACATCGCCGCCGCCAGAGCTCTCTACCTGCGTCGTTCAACTCGTCCGCCGTCGTAGCCTCATAGGTAAGCAAACTGTATCCCTGCGCTCCTCGTATTCCCAACGTTCGTGGCGTGAAGAAGACGATGAACGATCTACTCCGGTTTTAACTTGTTGGGCTGGGCTGAATGAATAATAACAACAATCAAAGAATAATATTAATAGCAATAATATAATAACATAAAATGTGATAATACGAATAAGAAAAATGATAATTGAATTCGGAGAATTTTAGCGACGTATAATTTGATAGTTTTCACTCTTTATAAATTGTCAATTTTTAATGTAAAGGTTTGGATTAAAGAGGAAGTATCAATTAATTACTTCACCGAAATAATTGGATTATTTTAATCGGATTAGAATATAATGGGCTAAGTAATTAGCAAGGGTTGAATTATTTAATTAGTGTTGTATTTAACAACACTAATTAAGAATTTGGATATGGACTTGGTGAAGGATTTATATGCCTGACATAGTGTAGAGACCTTAATTAAGAATGCCTTAGTACTGAGAAACTCATGAGACTAGAAGTTAAGTGGTCAAAATGGTGAAAGTCTCATGGTGAAATTGTTGACCGAAAATGCCACTTGGGAGCCCGAGACGATATGCGTAAATGTTATCCAAAGCTATTTGACTTGGGTAGTGTTTTAGTTACGAGGACGTAACTTCTCTTTAAGTGGGGTAGAATGTAACACTTCATAATTATATATCATTAAAATTATATTAGAGCATATGCTTCGGGACGAAGCATCTTTTAAGGAGGGTAGATTGTGACACCTCGAAAAATTAAAATAAGATAAAATGAATAAATAGTCTGATAAAATGTTATAAGTGTGACATTTTAAATAAAGTGAATGAGAGAAAAGTTTAACATCGGTTACATTCTTAATCAGAAAATAGAAGTGATTTTTTTTATGATAATTACGAAAGTAACATTTTTATAACAAGTCCTGGCGAAATATCAAAAGTGACATTATATGATATTCATGTTATTAAGATAAAATTTATAATATAAGAGTTAATGATAGTAGCAAATTACAAAGATCTGCAACATGCACTTGATAAAGACCTCACTTTGGCATCCAAACAATATCATTCTGATGGAGAGCATGTCAACACACAGGTTGATTATGAATCCTGGAAACACACCTGGCCAGAAATATGTGATGAGGTAGAAAGATTAGCTAAATGTAAAGAAAGCTCAGTTCCTATTAATGATGGCCCCATTACCTGTGAGGACAACATTGATCGGGGAACTGATATTGCTCAGATCAACTCCCATTCTGCTAGTCCAGATGAGAACCATGATAATGTGGGAGGAGAAAACACCATTATTGATGTCACTGGAGAAGTCAGTAATGCTCAGATTGCATCCAACCCTGTGAATCAAGTTGAAGAATATCATGCATTTCAGGAAGAAGGATACCTTAAAGTCACTGGAAGAAAATCAAAGAAAAAATCTGAAGTTGAAGCTTCAACAATTACAACAAGGAATGCGGCGAGGAAGAAGGATAGCCAAGGGCTCTCACAGGCTGTTGGGCCTGGGTCTAAATGAATTGCCTCTTTTGGAATGTTAGGGGCCTAGAGTCCTCCTGCTCCAGGCTATATTCCCTAACTCAACAATGGAGGATTCATATACTTATTGTTATTGAGCCTATTGTAGCTAATTCTAAAGCTAGTAATTATAAATCTCAACTTGGTTTTAATGAAGTTGCTATTTCTGGAATTAACAAAATTTGGGTGTACTGGAGTTCTGAAAATGTCCAACTTTCTGACTTTATTTGGCATGAACAATATGTTCATTTTAAAGTCTCTTCAGGGTCTTTTTTGGGCTGGATTACAGGCATCTATGGGGATCATAATTATGTGATTAGAAGACAATTATGGGCTGATTTAGCTACTTTTTCTCAAACTATGAAGGATCCATGGATTGTGGGAGGTGATTTTAATTCTATTGCTAATTTTAATGAGCATCAGGGGAGAGGTATACCTGCTTTGGCCAGCATTCAAGATTTCTCAAACTGCATCTCAATGTGTAACCTGGTTGATCTTCCATACAATGGCTGCAAATACACGTGGACTGGAACTAGATCTAATGGAAGAGTTTGGAGAAGACTAGACAGATGTTTAATTAACAATTTGTGCTTGGATCTTTTTGACAGCATTCAAATCTCACATCTTAATAGCTCTCCTTCTGACCATAATCCCATTTTAATTCAATGCTCTAGTTGTATTTCATATGGTCCTCGACCTTTCAGGTTTCAGAACATGTGGACTACACATCACACTTTTATGGAGACTGTTCAAAGAAGCTGGAATGCTCAAAATCATGGAGGTGGCATGAGAGGGCTAGTTAGGAAGTTGCAGGCTCTTAAAAAGGATCTTAGGAATTGGAATTTAAAGACCTTTGGGAATATTTTTGCGGATATTAAATGTTGTGAGGCAGAAGTTCTTGAAACTGAAAAAACTTTTGAGGAAAATCCTAGTTCTGAAAATAGGGAGAAATGGTCTCAATCCAGGGCCTTACTCATGTCCAAATACAAACTTGAGAAAAAATTTTGGAAACAGAAGGCAAATATCAAGTGGCTTAAAGAGGGTGATGCTAATACAGCTTTTTTTCACTCTTTTGTGAAAATTAGGAATAAAATGCAGACCATTACTTCTATCAATGACTCAGATGGGAACCTACTTACCTCCAGTCCAGATATTGGGGCTGCAGCAGTTGATTTTTTTAAGGGTCTTTACTCTGTGGAACCTGAGGTAGCCGCTGATCAAATTCTGCAATTTATACCTGAAATCATTACAGAAGAGGATAATATTATGCTTTCTTCTTTGCCAGAGGAGGAAGAAGTTAAAAAGGCAGTTTGGGACCTCAACCCTAAGGGGGCTCCAGGACCAGATGGTTTTAATGGGAAATTTTTTAGGAAATGTTGGTCTATTGTGGGTAAGGATGTGACATTGGCTGTGCAAGAATTCTTTTTAGGCATTAATATTCCTGCAGGTTTTGCCAGTTCTTGGATAGTTCTTATCCCCAAAACGGATAGACCATCCTCTTTTTCAGAATTTAGACCCATTTGTTTGTCAAATTTTGTGAACAAGGTGTGCACTAAGGTTTTGGCTTTCAGACTCAGTTCTATTTTGTCCAAAATTATTTCTAAAGAGCAAGCTGGATTTATGAAAGGTAGGGATATAGCTGATCAAGCCCTCATGGCACAAGAAATGATACATGCTATTGATAAGAAGATAAGAGGGGGTAATGTGGTGATTAAACTGGATATGGCCAAAGCCTTTGATAGGGTCTCTTGGAAATTCTTATCTGATGTTCTGAAACGGTTTGGGTTTTCTGCACGATTCATTATGTTGGTAATGAATAACTTAAAATCCACTTTTCTATCAGTTTTGGTTAATGGCTCTCCTCAAGGTTTTTTTAAACCTCTTAGGGGGGTTAAACAAGGAGATCCTCTATCCCCATTTTTATTTATTATTGCTGCAGAAGGTTTTTCTAGAGCTCTAAACTGGCATATGGAACAAGGTCACATTAAGCCTTATTGGATGGGGAACCAGGGGTTTCCTGTATCTCACTTGGGATTTGCAGATGATATACTAGTTTTTCTCAATGGTGAGATTAGATCTATTATTAGATTCAAGAAATTCATTGGTTTATACCAAGCTGCATCAGGCCAGGCAGTAAATCTGGACAAGAGCTCTATTGTATGTGGCAAATATGCTGAGAGAAGGAGCAGGATTTTGAAGGATGCGTTAGGCATGAATCTGTCTTCCCTTCCTATGAAATACTTGGGTGTCAACCTGCACAGGGGAATAAATAGGTTTAACTACTGCAGCCAGCTGATCAGTCAATTTGAGAAAAAATCAACTCCATGGAAGCAAAAGAATCTCTCTCAGGGTGGTAGATTAATCTTAATTAAGCATGTGCTTAATTCAATCCCTTTGCATACTCTAGCTACTGATACATTGCCAAAGAAGGTTAAGAGAATCCTGGAATGTAAGATGGCAGATTTCTTTTGGGGTTCATCTAATCATAAAAGGAAATATCATTGGAAAAGTTGGTCCCGTCTTTGTGGTCCTACTGAAGAAGGAGGTTTGGGGATAAGATCTCTTACTGATTTGGAGAAATCTTTTACCCTAAAGTTGTGGTGGAAGTGGAAAACAGGCAACACCTTTTGGAATACTTTCATTAATGACAAATATTCTAGGGAGGGGAATATCATACCTAAAATCACAGATTCTCCCTTTTGGAAAAGAATCTGTGCCATCAACTCTGAAGCTCTTTCTGCCTGCTCTTATAATTCATCTGGGGTAATTTGTTGGGACCTGGAAAGTTCTGGCTGCTTCACTCTCCAATCGGCCTACAACTTCATTAGAGAGGAGAATGTTAGTACTTTTGCTTTTAAGCAAATTTGGCATCCAGGTCAGCATTTAAAAGTGAAAATATTCCAATGGAAGCTTTTACTAAACATTCTGCTTGTTACAAATAACTTGCAGAGGTTTGGTTTGGTTCTAAATCCTTCAATATGTCCATTATGTAGGAAAGGTGCAGATACTATGGATCATCTGTTTTATCAGTGTGGTATTTCTTTTCCTGTTTGGGTTTATTTTATGGGGTTATTTGGTATTCCAGTGCCCCATCAAAATACATCAATCAGGCAAATTTTGATACTGTGGTGGCTTAAAGCAGGAAACAAACATTTGGAGGATATGTTTAAACATAATCTACCTGGGATAATTTGTTGGAATATTTGGAAGGTTTATACTAATATTATTTGGGGATCTGAGGAGGGTCGAGTTACTTCGTCCTTTATTATTATGCAGATTAAAATCTATACACAACAATGGATTTATTCACTGAATAATCCGCATGCCTCAACCAAGCTTGAAGATGTATTCTATGGAGAAAATCTGATTCCTAAAAGTATTAAACTCACAGGAAGAAGGTTTAAGTTGATTAAATGGAACAAACCAATCACTGGAATGAAGTTAAATGTTGACGCGTCGTTTTTACCTGACAAAGCTCTGGGTGGCGCTATTATGCGTGATTGCAATGGCAGGTTGGTCTTCGCTGTCAGATTTCCAGTTCAGGCATCCTTTCCGTTGGAGGCGGAGCTCAAAGCGATCCTAATCTCGACGAGATGGGCGATTCAGGCGGGTTATGACAAATTCCAGGTAGAAACGGACTCACGTGAGGCAGTCTTGATTTTGTTGGGGAAGAAGAATCGCAGATGGGAACGAATGATTCAGGAAACCTTGCTGATCTCGAACAGTTTAAACATCGGGTTTGAACATATTTTGCGCGAGGGCAACTGGACTGCCCATTACTTGGCTAAGGAAGGTTTGGGCTAATTTGATATCTTTACCAGGCCAGGTGATCTACCTATTTCTGCTCGGCGGGCCTATAATATGGATTTCTTTGGTTTACCCAATTTTAGATTTTTATAAGTGACTTTTTTGGGTAAGGTTTGGTCCCCCCATTTCTTTATTTTTGCTCATTTACTGTTTCCTTTCGGAGGGGTTTTGGCCTAGTCCCCCCCTCGTTTTTGTTTTCGTTCATGTTTCTTTAATAAAATCTGGTAAATGTCCCCCGGCATTTACCCCACTGATTTTGGTGGTTGACCTTCCGGGGTAAAAAAAAAAAAAAAAAAAAAAGATAGTAGCAAATTACAAAGGTTGACTGGTCAATGCCTAACCATAATATACTCCTAATATGTAAACTATACATTAGTACGTACTTGCATATGTATTAAACTCCTAGCAACTAAGGTACATGTAAGGTACTGGTGTGTAAAATAACAATAATAAAAGTGCTACGCTAGCTAGTACGATCGGGTCCAAACATATATGGTAATGCTTACAAATTAGATGTGACTTTTGATATTTCGCCAGGACTTGTTATAAAAATGTTACTTTCGTAATTATTATAAAAAAAATCACTTCTATTTTCTGATTAAGAATGTAACCGATGTTAAACTTTTCTCTCATTCACTTTATTTAAAATGTCACACTTATAACATTTTATCAGACTATTTATTCATTTTATCTTATTTTAATTTTTCGAGGTGTCACATGAGTCTCCACCAATTCTAGCTTGAGTCAAAGTCCCTGGCAGCCTACCATCTTTGCCTTTAATATTCCAATTGGGTGGATAACCAATACGTGCAAAGCATGCATCGTAAGTATGGTTAGTCCTTCCACAATAGGAGCAAGACCGACTTTCCTTTGCAGTTGAACGTCGTCCTGGAATTGGCTCTCTTTTAGTTTGTGTGTAAAAAGCCGTACCATCACCACCTGGTTTGCGTGCGGGTGTGATAGACCTGTGTTGTTCACTCTCTGAAACAAGATGATATGCGGCGGTGAGAGTAGGAACCGGCCTTGTGGCCAGAATCTGGCTCTTCAATTGGGCATAAGCATCGTCCAAACCCATCAAGAAATCATAAAGACGGTCTCTATCGCGGGAATCAATTATCTGTTTAGAAATATTGCACGAACATTTGTCACACGTGCAATTAGGCGCCGTGTTTATAGAGACCATTTCATCCCATACACGACGTAACCTGCTAAAATAGGCCGAATGTTGCTAAGGGAGCACTGAAGCTCATAAGCACGTGGAGCACTCTCCTTCGCAAATCTTTCTTTTAAATCAGTCCAGATCTCCTGGGCCGTTTTGAACTTCACACTTTGCCTCAGCTCCATCTCCATGCTACTATTGAGCCAACCTTTAACCATGGCATTTGCTCGTTGCCAATATGGAAGGTATGGTGAGTTGGACTGAGGCATCGGTATATCACCATTTACAAAGCCAAATTTATTTTTGGCATATAGGGCGTTGCTCATTTCATCGAGTCAATCTCCATAGTTTCCATCTCGAAGAGTCATAGTAACATGGATATCTCCGGGCTTATCTCCGGATTGTATAAAATAAGGTGACATGGAATCAATGACTATGTCATTAGTTTCAAGAGTAATGGCCTTGGTTTGACCATCACCCGCCATAATTTAGAAAGGGAATAAAGAAGAAGATAGGGTAAATGGGTCTTACAAAAATAATATGAAGAGATTTTTTTTAATATATATATATATATATATATATATATATATATATATATATATATACTATTCTCAGGATTTCGGCTCTGATACCATGATAAAAATATAAATGGATAAATATATAATTGGATGAAATAAAATATACTAGAATTATTTAGGAGAGACTGCTTCACAAATAGAAGCCTCGTATTTTTCTTCTTATCTTCCTGGTCATACGCATAGATATATTTATATTACATGGGAGGCCTATCCTTGCTAAGGGAGAGTGAATTATTGCAATACAAGTGCATGTGCATGCACTCCTATGTATACAAAGAAAGTACTAACATTTACATGTGCTATTGTGTGAGCATTACATGTTCCTAGAAGGAAAATAAATTGGGCAAGTCATATTATGGATCTCAATACTTGGCATCTGCCAATACCAGTACAAGGAACCATATGTAACCATTACACTCAAATGCATATAACATAAATCCATGAGTCAAATTAATACATACAGAAGTAATTATTTATTAAGCCCAAATAACTATATTTATAAAGTCATTTTATACTAAAGGAATTGAATCAACAAATGGGGGAAACATAAGTAAACAAAAAAAACAATATTAAAAATCTTGAAAAGTGATCAACAAAAATCAACAAAAAGCAACACGGTGAAACAAAAAGCAACAAAAAAACACTCAATAATATGTACTTTCCTGGTATGTGATAAAATATGGAGGGGAAAAGGAGAAAAATTATCAATGTCGAGATATGTATATTATTAATATATACTCATTAACAATCAATGCTACAGTTTACTTGCGTGCATTATAGCTGAAATTATTAGCCTATTAGGATGATTGCCAATACAATTTATCAACACTGAGATCCTACGATTATGAGACTAGCCAAAAATACTAAAATAAGAGCAGACCTTTCAAAACTAATTAAACAAAGAGAGGTTAACGATTAATAGAAGAATAGTGAAGAAAGTTGGAAGGTCAATTCACTTGATCTAGTGGTGGAGTTTATCTTCAATTTTCTTAACTATCAAAGAAGCAGAGATACAACAATTGTCATTGGAGTTTATCTCCCAAGTACCAAATATTGAATTTGGCATAGGATAACTACTTAGCTCGATCCGATGAAGCTAGGTTTTGAAGAGAAGACAGTTAAGACTGATGCGATGAAAATTAGTCCATATGGTTAAATTTGTGTGATTTGTAAAGAAGTCGTCATCACATACTAGATCTGAATTCCTACATAGTATTCAGATTTATTGGGATAGTATGGTCCTTTTAATCAGCAATTTGATTGGTTCTCTTTATATTAAAAATTAAAATTGATTTTGTGATTTCCTTTTAATTAGCAGTTTTAGTTCCATTTTAATTAGTAATTTTATTGAGATTTCTATTTATTAGGATTGTATAACAAAAAAAACCTTAAATAAAGTATTCCATATAATGAACCATATATACAACGAATAAATTCTATATGTAAGAGTTACTTGCCTTTTTTAGATGTCCTTTAATAAAGTCATCTTTCCTTGTTTGGTAAAACATTTGTACCAATTTATTCTACTACATTTAAATAATAACCGACACCACGGTGCAAAACAATGTCAAAAGTGTCAAAAACAGTGTCAAAAAGTACACTCCGAGAAATCAAATGAAAACATTTATTTCCTTAATGTGAGTGCAAGTCAAAGTGGGAATTTAAAATAGGAACGTGGGAAGTATTTTGTTATGTTTAAATACACACCGTACTTGTATCTTATAAGAAGTGTTTTTTTTTATCGTAAATTCCATATCTGTTTCTATGTTTCAAGTTTCTGTTTTAGTTATATAAATAGTGTGAATCCAAAAGAAACTTGAAAGGTAGACTGAAATGAAACACTTTGATGAATCCAAAAGAAAGAGTTACTTCATTACACAAAATTAAGTATAAAGAGAGATGAATTGAAACTTATTCACACTTTGCTTTAATTTTGTCTTTCTCATTCTCAATAAAAAAGTGACAAATGGACCAAGTTTTGTATCAAAGTGGATCAGTGGATGAATTGAGAATCCTATTTCTGAAAAAGGGAGTTGCTCCTCCAAAGCATAACAAAATCAGCAAAAATTGATCCAAAACATACTAAATTGTCTCTCTCCATTAGGGATGGACTGGGCCGGGCCGAACCGGCCCGGAACCGGACCGGCCCGCTACTGTGCGGGCCCGGACCGGACCGGGCCCGGTTGGCCGGTTCCGGGCTTTTAGCCCGTGTTGGCGGGTCGGGCAGGCCGGTTCCGGGCCCTATTTTTGTTGAACCGGCCCGGGCGGTTCGGGCCGGGCCCGGTTCATTTTTTTTTTTTTTTTTGGTTTTTTCAATTTTTTTTCTTTTCCTAGGGTAGGGCTGGGTGTTTTAGGGAGGTTTGGGGCGTGAGGGTGAGGGGGGGGGGGGTAGGGAGATAACAAGAAAGTCAAAAAAAAAAAAAAAAAAAAAAAAAACATTGAACCGGGCCCGGCCCGGCCCGGCCCGGTTAGGCCTGGACCCGGTATCAACCCGGGCCGGTTCCGGGCCCATGTAACCCGAAAAAAAGCCCGCCCGGGCCCGGCCCGGAACCGGACCGGCCCGGGTCCATCCCTACTCTCCATTAACATTATAGCGATTTACTTTATTCGACCGCCTATAAACACTACAGTTACTGGATGGGTTCAAATTTACATTATGACATTGTGCTTGTCTGAGACTCTGAGTGGGAACCCAAACCATTTTCAGAGCCAAAAGTCCTAAAACAAAACACAATTATAGAGTTCCATTTGTTTTATAAATGGTGTGAAGTACAAACTACAAAGTAGATCTGTGGGGCCTTTCCCTTGAGAGGCCAACTATGATACTTTACGAGTTTACAGGATTGACAATATTAGAGAATTGTTTGGACGGATCTTGGTCTCATAAAGAACCCCATATGCCGCCTTGGACTTGAGTAAAAGGATGCCACTATTTTAACTGCTCTTTAATATCTTCTACGTCTTTGATGGAGTAGAATAGATTGAGAGCAGATTTTTATACAATTCCACATAAAAAATGTTGTATTTTAACCAATGACCGTTGCATACATCAGATAAGCTGGTATTTGAAGAATATTCTTATTTTTCCCCCTTGGCTCAGTTGTAACCTATTTAATTTTTTGAATATGTATACACAAGGATAATATTTGAATGGTTTTGTCGTTAAGATGGAAAAAAACAAAGTAGATCTGTGGGACGTTAGCCTGCTCACTGAAATTTGTGGCTAAACGGAGTATAAATCTTTCACATTGACCAAACATACCAAAATGATTTGCTGCCCTGCAGACCACAATGTGAGAAGGAAGAATTAGTTAACATAAACACCCCTCCATTACAAATGTGAATTTATACTAAACTTACTGAGAAGTCAAGTTCTGCATTTTGTATGTGTAAATCAAAGACTTCATTTGTTAATCCAAATAAATCAAAAAACTACTATGACAGTATGTTATAGAATATGGCAAATAGTACACAGAAACATCAAAATGAAGGGAAAAAGTTAAATAATATAGGAGTTATACCTATTAATGAAATTTTCTCTTTTGAATTGGCAGATGAAGAAGCTCCCTTCCCAATTTCTGCCACATGGGAAAGAGATTTGAAAAAGTTTAGAAAAGCATACAATTAAGGTTGTGTAGGTGCTAAAATAAAGCCAAACTTTTTTAAAGCGAAAAGCGTCCAAAAGCGATGACCCTGGGCTTTGCTTCAAAGCGAAAGCACTAAGCGAAGCGTAGCTTTCTCACAAAAAGCGATGCTTAAAAAAATTAAAGAAAATATAATATATAATGTATACTTATGTCAAAAATGCATAAGTAATCATAAAAGTCATTTAAAAGTCATTTAAAAATTACAGAAAATATAATATACATTTACAGTTTACAACATATTGTCTACCCTTTTTACCAAGTATTAGTAATATACTATCTTAAGCTCATTAAAACACACACTGAAAAACACAAAATTAATACAAATCAACCACAAAATTTAAAGTGAAGAAGAGTGTACAACTGTGAAGAATCTAAAAAGAAGAGTATAGAACATTAAACAACACAAAATTAAAACAAATCAACCACAAAATTCAAAGAGTATAAAATGTAGGAATGCTTGAAGACAAAATTAAAAGTCAAAGAGTAAACAAATATCATTGTTGATCATTCTTACATGAAGTATAGCTATTTGGATTACCATATAAAAACCTCAGTAGTAAAATCGAAGACTACCTCAGCATATATGAACAAAGATTGAATAAAAACTAAACGAAGACTACCTCAGCAAGATTCGATGGAGAAGGGATACGGGATACTAGCTCTTCTGGTTTCGAAGTTCTGGAGAAATCCTCTGGCGCAGCTCTGGAGAAGTCTTCTACCGCAGCTCTGGCCTGGAGAAGAGTAGAAGACCCGGAGAAGCCTTCGAACGAATGGGAATGGAAGAGACTTCAAACTAATGGGACCGATTTGCTATCTTAACCCTAGGTAAAGTAAAAAAAAAAAAAAAAATCTTCTGGCACTTGTTGACCGTCGCCTTTTGTGAGAAGCCATGAAAAGCGATCGCTTTAGAGCTGCGTCGCTTCATGAAAAAGCCACAGAAAGCGAGGCTTTCTCACAGGGCAGCGCCTTTGGAAAGCTTAGCGATAAACCATCGCTCGCCTACGCTTCTCGCTTTTTTAAGCTTTTTGTCGCTTTTAATAAGTTTTGAATAAAGCATCAAGAAACTGATCCATATATCTAGCCAAGAAGCGGGTAAAACAAATAAGTGAAACCAAAATCATAAGGTAAAACACCCCCTGCCATCAAGCCATCAAGGAAAAGCAGTAACGTTCAAATGAAATAAGATGTCAAAATGCTAAGTGATCATAGTTAAACATGAGGCAATGACCTCATAAACTCACAAGTCATAACTACACAATATCATTTTCTTTTTTTCTAATGCTCATAAAAAAAGTGCGAAAAAAACAAACATGTTGGTGAGATCGATAAACTCCAAAACACCACCATTGATAGTTAATCTAATGTGCTATTGCATATATTGAAGTAAATACCTCAGCATTTTCATTCTTAATACACTGCTCAAAGCATGAAAAGGAAAAAACAGTAGTATACCATTTACAGTTAGTCTATCTCCTTCCAAATTTTTATTTATGCTAAATGACAATTGATATTAAATATTAATTGATGAAATCTAACTCCAAATTGCTTAGTAAGAGATCTAATTGAATACATAAAAAAATGAACCAAATGAAAAAAATATAATTTGGCACGCTATGTACATTGTATTTTATCAATAATACATTTTAGTTTTTGACAGTATGAGGAGGAATCTGGTTAATATCATATGTCAAAAATGAAAGTTCATTTTTTGGAAAGCTCAAGCTTGGTTAATCCCATATATACAGACATACACACACTCTCGGTATGGCAATCACTCTAAAAGAAAGGAAGAGATAAAAGATGCAAACTTATGCAAACATAAGGTTACTTTTAAGGTTCAACCTCAAGAACATCAAATTCACTAAAATGCAACATAAATCCATCACAAATCACAAGAACCCGAACAACAGAATTTAAAAATGATAAAGAGATGATTACTAAAAGAAAGATGGGGGCTCAGGACTCCAAAAGAGATATGTAGACTTGGACTCTTTTTTAGTTTTAATTGCTAAGAGAAATTAAATACAGAGTAACTACTATAAGAGAGATGAAGAATTAAGACTCTTTTTTCAGTTTAAATTATAATAATATGCCAAGATTTGAGAAACTGTTATTATTATTATTATTCATCTTTAAAATTGAAATTCGATTTTCTTATTTTTATTAATCGTCTTTAAAATTGAAGAATCTGTCATAATTGGACTGCCCCTGGACTGAATTCAGATCATTACCTTCCAACCGAAATGGGCATCTTTGAGATATAAAGAAAACTCGATGAAGCCAATATAGAGCTGAGGGTGTGAAGGTAACTGATGTAGTGGCAGTGTTGTTTCAATCCTGCAGCCGCCTGACCGTTCTCCTCGAGGCCCTAGCAGCGACATAAGGATATAGATTGCCGAATAGGAGTTTCCAACTTTAATGAGCATCATATACTTTTTTAAGCCTAAGAGCATATGAATCTACACTACCTCAGATAATTAATTTATATGATTAAGTTCAACAAAGTTCTGCCGGAGAATCTTTAAAGCCTGAAGTATATTATAGAAGTAATATTCATGACCTCGGATTTTTCCAAGTTAAATCAGAATAAATCTCAAGCTTTGGAAGAATTGTACTTACATGGAGTTGATATGATTCAGAACTCTGACTCAAATAGTGCACCATTGTTAAATTCTAGGTATCAACAGCCTGGAGCATTTATCAAAGTCCAAAACAAAATTGTAAGCAAAAGAAATTTCTTTAGACAGGTGTACTGATAAGCATTACTTTTTTAGATTGGTGAGAGGCTTAATTCCACTAGTTCTAATCCAACTGAAAAGTAGTCATTTAATTTGGCACATGAGGCAGTTCTATGTTCTCATACGTGTTTTTAAGGTGAAAAGTACTCAACATAAATAGTGACTACTGAGAAGGAAAAACTAATTGGAAAAAAACTAAGAGGGAAAAAGTACTTTGGTAGAAGCACCCTACTCCATGAAACTGATGTACATGCAGCAGGAAGAAAGCAGAAGATTTCTGAGGAGGAATCTTTTTAATTGCAACATTAGCCTTTGCTTCTCATCTCTATGTTAAATGAAGCTATGATTTTCAGTCTCCATATATGTTTCTTAATACACTTTGGTATAAGGGAGGGATGGCATGCAACAATGAACAACTGGCCTTCCATCAGTTCAAAACTGAAACTGGCCTTCAATTAGTTAAATCAAGCTTTGATTTTCAGTCTCCATATCTGTTAATAGACTTTGGTGCAAGGGAGAGATGGCATGACAACAACTGGCCTTCCATTGGTTCAAAACTGAAACTGGCCTAGACGTTACTTTCATTAGTTTTGTTTATTTTCAAACACATCTAAATATGTTTTAGGTCACTTATTTCAATCAATTAGAATTTCGCAAAATTCGGCTTCATTCACTAATTTTTACCCAGTTCCTATGCATACCTATGGAGTTTATAATGGGAAGGGCGGAAGGCGCCTGACCATGGGTACCACAAACATAAGCAATAACTGGACATGTCAGGGGAGACTCTTTAGAGTACTATCTACGGGGAATTAATAGTTGGGTCTACAGAGGTTCCCCAGTTTGCTAATATCAAATAATATAGTTGAATTAGAGGACTAATAGATAAAAAAAATCACATGTGAATAAGGGTCTTGTAATTTACCTGCACCAAACACAATTAGTTTCCTTCAAAGTTCAATCAATGATCATGAGTAATCTTGAGGGTGGCTCTTCTTCATGGAATTGCAGAACAGAAGAAGAAATTGAGAGATTGGCCCTAAAGGATGAACATGCCTATATATCTGAAATTTGCATCAGAAAACTACTAAATTGGATGAAGGCTGTTGCTTTTAAGAATTGATAATTATGAGAATTCAAATCATTGTACTCTAGTTCTTACAAAAAATATATCAAAATTCATAACTTTTTATGATTTTTAATATGACATCAATATTGTTTATGTAAAATTTAAAAATAAAATTGGAAGTTTGAACTGCAAAAGCTTTTTATATTAGCTTTTTATAAAGACTGAAATGCTAAAATTAAAATTCATTGTTAAAAGAGATGTAACTTTTTTATTTGTATTTCAATTTTTACAGTAATTATATCAGAATACATAATTTTTTTCGATCTTTCAGATGTCACCATTATTGTGTATATAAAGTGTTTTTTTTAAAATTGAAGTTTCAACACTACGAAAATTGAAGTTTCAACTTTCAACACCAGGAGATTTTTAGATTTAAAATTTTTCTTAGTAGATACAAATATTAAAATTAAAACCCCGATTTAAAAATAATTCGAACATCTAAATTTTTTTTATTGTAACAATGAAATCTTAATTTTTGCATTTGAATCAATTTAAGAAAACTTTTGGATCCGAAAAATTTCTACTGTAAAAACGTCAAAAAATAATTAAACTTTATATATGCAATTTTGATGTCATTAAGAAGATCATAAAGAGTTATGAATTTGGGTATATGTTTCGTAAATTTTTTGAGTACAAATAAAAATGTTACAATCACTTCATAGAAAAAATGGGATTTTACACTAACCTTGCCCCTACCCTCCCACCCGACCATCATTCCTCTGAATCCCTCATTTTTAGAAAACACCCGATTCTGGGAACCCCCTCCTCATTCCTCACACTTTACCTTCTCATTTCCTTCGTCTGCTCAGAAGTTCATTTCCTTCATGGAGGAGGAACCAACATCAGGCCTACCGCCTCCACCTCTCCCACGATCTCCATTGCACCGGCCAACCCTAAAGCAGATGCTTAAACATAAAAAAAGAGATAGGAGTGAAGAACAACAACTTATACAACCTTGGATTTTAGGTGTGAAGAACAAAACCAAAGGAAGAATCCCTTCCATGGACACAGACAGCTTGCAATTATTTGTCTGTGCCACTTATCCCCATGGGACAAGTAAGTTTATCTTATTTAACTTTTTTTATTTGTTTTATCTTACAAAAATAAATAGATTTTTTAATTTAACTTGGTTCAGAGGATAAAGTCTTACTGTTCAGCCCTCATCTTAATGTTGAAGAAAAAGAAACTCCTCTTCTTGTGCTTGGAAATAGAGATGTCACAGAACAGATATTGAACTTTGCCATAGCTGATATTGAAAACTTCAATGTGTTCATGGAAAATTCTTTTATCTCTACACAGTATGCAGAATTGAAGGAACAGTTGATTCCTTACCTGCAACACTGGATCCGCTCTATTAAGGTACCTGACGTATAATAGCATTAGTTTATATTTTTTACTTTTAATAAATTTATGATAAGTAGTCCAATGAAAAATATTAATGCCCCCATTAGATATTATACAATTCTTTTGAAATGCAAAATTGGTGAAAAGGCAAGTACGTGATCTGTCCATGACCTTTGAGATTTTATTTGTTGATTTATTTAGAGATATTTGTAAACCTGGTTTATGTAGAATAAGTTTTAGAAAAGCTGTCATGTTAGATTTCAAGTAAATGGGCTAGAAAAGTTTTAGTTTGAATACTCCGTATTTAATTCATTTTTAGTTAATAATTAATTTTCATACTTTCATTAGAATTTTTTCGTAATTTTTTCACTTTAGCCACTTTTTTGTTTTTTTTAAATCGCATTGTTTGAAAGATGTTTTTGAAATGAATGTTGTTGTCAAGTCAAATATGAGCAATCATATTGGTGACAAATTTTCATATGATTATCTTACCTATAATTTTGTAATGTGAAAAGGATTTACTTGATATAATTACAAATGCAATTGCGATGGTTTGATAGATCATTTTCAAAAGATGAAATTTCATTGAGAGCAACTGTGGTAAATTATACTGAAAGATTTCATATTGAATAACATTACAAATGGAAACATTTAAATCTACCGATCAGATTTGGACAAAAATATTAAGGGGAGAGTCTCCAGTGTCCATAAATGAAACGTCTCCATTTATAATATCATTCAATATGAAATTTTTCAGTGTAATTTATCACAGTTGTTCTCATTAAAATTTCATCTTTTGAAAATGATCTATCAAACCATCGTAATTGCATTTGTACTTATATCAAGTAAATCCTTTTCGCATTACAAACTTATAGGTAAGATAATCGTGTGAAAACTTGTCACCAATATGATTGCCCAAACAACATTCATTTCAAAAGCATGTTTCAACCAATGCGATTTAAAAAAACAAAAAAGTGGTTAAAGTGAAAAAATTACGAATAAATTCTACTGAAAATATGAAAATTAATTATTAACTAAAAATGGAGTAAATACGGAGTATTCGGACTAAAACCTTTCTAGCTCATTTACTTGAAATCTAACATACTCCCTCCGTATCAAATTAATTTGATACGGAGGGAGTAACAGCTTTTCTAAAACTTATTCTACATAAACTAGGTTTACAAATATTTCTAAATAAATCAACAAATAAAATCGCAAAGGTCATGGGCAGATCACGTACTTGCCTTTTCAACAATTTTGCATTTCAAAAGAATTGTAGAAATTTAATGGGGGCATTAATATTTTTCACTGGGGCACTGTCATAAATTTATTAAAAGTAAAAAGTTTACACTAATGCTATTATACGTCGGGTACCTTAATAGAACGGATCCAGTGTTGCAGGTAAGGAATCAATTGTTCCTTCAATTCTGCATACTGTGTAAAGATAAAAAGAATTTTCCGCAAGTAACACATTGAGGTTTTCAATGTCAGCTATGGCAAAATTCAATATCCGTTCTGTGACATCTCTATTTCCAAGCACAAGAAGAGTTTCTTTTTCTTTAACATCAAGAGGAGGGCTAAAAAGTAATAGTTTATCCTCTGAACCAAGTTAAATTAAAAAATATATTTATTTTTGTAAGATATAACAAATAAAAAAAGCTAAATAAGATAAACTCACTTGTCCATGGAGATAAGTGGCACAGACAAATAATTGCAAATTGTCTGTGTCCATGGAAGGGATTCTTCCTTTCATTTTGTTCTTCACACCTAAAATCCAAGTTTGCGTAGGTTGTTGTTCTTCATTTCTATTTCTTTTTTTTATGTTTAAACATGAGCTTTGGAATTGGCCGTTGCATCGGAGATTGTGGGAGAGGTGATGTGGGTTCTTCCTTCACGAAGGAAATGAACTTCCGAGCAGACAAAGTGATAGAGCACTCCATGAGGTCCCTTCGGTATTGTTGGACCAGATCTGTTCTGGAGTTGATACTGCTGCCGCCGTCCATGCCCCGCCGTCGTCCATGTTGGAACCCACCTGCTGCAGTCCATAGATACCGTCGCTGCTCACAACAAATGTAGGGTTGTCAATAACCGTTCAAGTCTAACATCCACGCCAACCGCGCGAATCGGCGGGAGGTCGCGACCAATGGCTCAATGCAGACCGACGACGGAATACAACTTGAGGCAACAGGTCAGGTCTTACTTATCGAACACAGATTTCGCATCTCCCTCTTGTAAGGTTGAAAACCTGCCATTAATGGCGGTTGAGAGCCTTGATATTTGTTTTCGAGCTCCTAGCACGGACGGAGTGGCCGAAACTACCGCTGAAGGGTCACGCTAACAGCCTGCCTGCACCAGCAATGGAATCCCTCGCTCCAAACAGCTCCAGCCGAGCCTCCTTTGGTGGCTAGATGAGGCGGTGTCAAGGACGTCTGGTCATGGGACCTTCCCACATTTTCTCTTGCTAGACGTGAAAGGCAGCAGATGCAATTTCTACAAGAGCCCCCTCTGTGACTTCGAGGACTGTGGATCCGACAGATCCGAGCCGTCTTCATCGACGTCGGACGATCTGGAACCAGCATCGAGAAGAAAGAAGAAAAGAGATCTGGAGAGGGAAGAAGGCCTGGGTTGCCTAGATTCGCCTTCTTCATCGCGCATGAAATTAAAACGACGGAACCGAGCGGAGGAGGGTAGCGGCAGAGGAGACGATGGCGTTGCCATGTGATTTGAAATCATTGGTCTATCCTTGAGCCCTGGTGTTGATGAGAGGAAGAAGAAGGGCCCTGGAGATGGAGGTATGGTGCGGCGTGCGGGTGAGGAAAGGAAAATTGAGGGACGATTATGCATACTTTATCAAAAAGGGCCTTGGACCACGTCGCCAGCTGGAAAAGCCCCGTCACGACCCTTCTCTCTCTCGAGCTCCTTTTCTTCTTCCTCTTATACCCAGACCTCATCTTCCCGGTCGCCCTAGCCTACTTTATCTATTGTGGAATTTATAATCTCGTCGTGCGCACCCTAGCCTACTTTATCTATTGTGGAATTTATAATCTCGTCGTGCGCATCTGGTCAGAATACCCTACGAAACCGCCGAGATCAATATGGGAGGAACCGCCCATCGTTTACATAGCTCAACACCAGGTACATACGTAACTACCTTACTTCGTATGTAACTTTTGATTTAGAAATTACGAGGCTAAATTTTTTATTTAGAAATTACGGGCTAAAACTATGACAAAAATTCAAAATGGAATTTCCTATTTTTTAATACTTCGTATTAAAATAGCACCATATTAGTTCTGTTGGAGATATACCTATTTTTTCATTTCATTCTTGCCCCTACTTTAAATTTGAATAAAAGACGGTCAAAAGTCATAATTAAATATTTAATGCATAATAAATTAAAAAAAATCAAAAAATCAAATAAAATTGCTTAAAAAGTTAATAAAATATTAAAAATAATTTTTGTTTAAAAGATAAAATTTAAAATTTAATAAATAATAGTAAAACTCCATAAAAAATTAGCAAATTTATGAATGCATTCCCACCACCTGTACTACCTCCCTGCACCACCACCTCCAACCGGTGGAAAAATGCCATTTTTTCTGAATATGTCAAAAAAAAATGGCATATTTCTCTTTGAGAATGCCAACATTTTCATTGTTTTTTGCCATAAGTATGGCCTTCATAAAAACTTTGGCTAGTTGATGGTTCTCCGGATTCGCTAGAATGAGTACTAGCACTTGATGATTCTTCCGAGTCGGAGCTTGAGAATTTAATTTTCCATTGCTCGAAAGATCTCTCTATTTCAGGGTTTGCTTGATAAGTGATTTCGTTCAATGAACGATATTTGACCGTATACTTCACAAAGCTCAAAAATAGAAAAACTAAGAACTCTTTATATTTTGTTTATTTTATTTTATTTTTCTTGAATAAAAAATTAAAAAGAAAAATGATTGCTTTTCCCCAACAACGACGCCAAATTTGACAAACAATTTGTCGTGATGTGCGTCAAAATAATCAATACAATACAACACTAATACGTAGTATAGCGTAGTAAGGTTCGTATCCATAGGGAAAGGAATATTTTTCTTCTTAATTAATTAGTAACACGGGGGTAAGTTTGATTTGATTTAATTTAATTAACACTAAGATGAACGACTTATATGAGTTTAATTAATAGAGATAAGGACTTGGTTTTGTTTTTATCCACTTAATGAAATGTTCGTCGATCTCAGTTATATCTTTAACTATCTTCCTCTCGAATACTCAATCGAGGAGTATATCCAATTCATCGAGGATAGTTATTAATAACGAGACACGTTCATTAATAAAACTTACTACCGAGTCAATATAGAACACGCGCCGTATATTAACCCGATAGTAGCAATAAACTTAAGATGAAAACGATTGAGATTGATAACCTCAACACAAGCGGTTTATTGGTTTAATCAACATAATTACTTCCCCTTAGCTTATTAACCATGAGACGCATGCATTAATAATCAAAGTTTACTACTGTGAAACAACCGAACGATCAACAAGCGTATTCGTCGATCGATTCTAGTGATAATTAATATATGAAACAAAACTATTTGATCCTTTAAGTAATGTCCAAAATATTAATATGAAATATGAATAAGAATTAATTAATATTCAAGGAAGAATATTAAAGATGATAAATCCTACTATAACTAATGTCAAGATGTTAACTAATTGTCATATTAGCAACACTCCCCAACATTAATATATAGAGGAAGAAAATAAAATCCTACTATAACTAATGTCGAGTTGTTGACTAATTTTCATCTTAGTAACACTCCCCAACATTAATATATAGATAGATTAAAGGAAGAATTAATATATCCAATTTCAAAATCTCCCTTTGGGCAAGTTTTGTGTGTCTACCTACCATTCTCTTACCTTTTTCTAACTCAACCACCACCATACATTTCCACTTTATTCTCACTTTCCAGATAATTTTTTCTTAAATTTTGTTAATATAATACTCCCTTCGGTCCTAAATAAACTTCACTCTCACTATTCATTGGTCAACTTAAATCACTGTTAATCTTGTACTTTATGTTTCAAATTTTTATCAAATTTAAATTTTCTTGATCTGGCTTTGTAGCGGTTTTAATGTAGTTTTTGAATATGTAAATTCTATTTACTAAAAATAATCTGAGTGTGAACACGGATCGAGTTGCTTTATCGTCAGTCAAGCATCGTAAATTGAATGAGAAGTTTATTTAGGACTGGAGGTAGTATATTTTACATATAATATTTTCATTATTCAGCAGAATCTAAAATTTCATCCAGAACTTCATAAATTTCAACAGAAATAATCGATTCAAGTGATTTCAATGTTACCCATTCAAAGCGGGCTCACACTGTCTATTAGTTTTTTTATTTTATTTTGAATTGTCTCAAAACGAATAATGTCTTCTTTTTTCTTGGCAAGAATATTTGGTTTATTTTCCAACCACCTTATTAATATGCGGAAGTTCACAAGAATACCCATAATTTTGGTGATTTTAGAAGGAGAAATTGCTCCCAATAGGAGTAAAACATACCACATTTCCCTAAATAGGAGTTAACTTCTAAAATTCTCCAAATAGGAGTAAACATTAATTTTTACCCCGAATTACTCCTATTGTAATTAATTATTGCCCCCCTAGTTCCCTTGGGCAACAAGGGCAGTCCGTCGGTGGCGGGGTAGGGTGTTGGTAGCGGCAGCAGTCCGGTGGTGGCGGTGGCAGGCGGTGCCGGCGGCGGTGGAGCTCCGGCGACCGGTGGAAACCTTTATTCTAATTAATCATTGCCCCCCTAGTTCCCTTGGGCAACCAAGGCAGTCCGTTGGTAGCGGGGCAATCCGTCGGTGGCGGCAGAAGATTCTGTCGGCGGCGGCGACAGAATGAGATCGGACTTCACATTTGCTGGCCGCACCTCTTTTTTCCATCGGTGGACACATTTGTCTTCTACCGAATTTGAACCAAGTATTGATTTCCAAATTATCCTATCACATCACGAGGAACTCGAAACTTAGGTAGATTGCTTTTCAAATTTGTTCTTTTTCATAAAATTAAATATTAAGATTTTTGGTTTAAAAAAAAACTAACATTTTAATTTTAAAAGCAAACAGTCGTTAGTTTTCCTTAACTTTTACTCAGTAACTAACTTTATTCCTAAAAATTATTTTACTCCGTCCTCTATAATTGTTCTAATTTTTTTATATCTATTTATTATTGTCACATACCTTATTTGATTATATTTGTGTGACTCTGATTTATTTGTATTTTATTTTCACTTTATCAACTCATTATTAACCACATAATTCTACATTTTTTAGAAACCACATCACTCCCTCCGTCCCAATATTAGGGAGACGAAGGTAGTACTTCTTTAAGGGTTGGTTTGCAAACGCTTTAAAAAAGGCACTTATCAGCTTTTGGCTTTAAAAAGCACTTCTTTACCAAACACCACAACTTTTATTTTTCTCGGCTTTCGTGTCAAAAGTGCTTTTACTTTTTCTAGTACACAAAAAACACTTATTTTACCAAACATCACCAACTTTTACTTTTCAAAATTACTTTTTTCTCAAACACTATCAACTTTTATTTAATCACTTCTCCCCATTTCATTAAAAAAACATTTTTTAAAGCAGAAGCTGTTACAAACAGACCCTAAAAATGCTCAAAACTTGATTACAAATTCCAACGGTCACTAAATATATAAATATTTGTAACATAATATAATGCTCTTATAATTTTTTTACAATCTTCTTGTACAATGGAGGATGAATTCAAAGATTATCTAGAAAATTGTACTCTTGGCTTTCATTCTAACGAGGTATTTATTTATCTCAATTATATTAATCATTGATCCAAAAAGGTGAAATCTCCCACCCCAAGAGCCCCCCTCATCCCGACTCGACACGATGGTGGGGAGGTTAGTCACGGTGACTCAGTCAGCAAGTGGCAGTAGGCCTATACACCCGTGCACACCAGAGCCCTAGCCTTATTTTAGATTCTGTGACCTCCACCTGATCGTTGCGGGGTTCGAACTTAGATCGATTGATCCTAATCACTTCTTATGCCAAGTATTTGTATTTGAGTTTTGGTTTTTGATCTGTTTCATTAAGTTTATTGCATACATTGTTTGGCAAGTATTGCAATTTTTTAAATATGTTTTATTTGATTAAGTAACATACATTTGTAATACTAGTAAAACTAACTATCTTCATTTTTATTTCTTTGACTAATTTCAAAGGTGCCCCCCACCTTTTAGAACTCGATCAACGCCATGCTGATTTCGCATTAAGACCATATATGTCATATCTATGAGCAAATATGTGAATGATATTTAGGATGTTTTTATTTGAACGAAATCTGATCTAGATACATTCAAACAAATTAGGTCTAATCAAAATAGACTAGATTTAAGGAATACAGAGAAGTAAATACACATTCATCGGTTATTCACGCGACCAAATTGTAACCGACTTGACCCGTTATTTTTTTTATTTTTTTAATTTATATATTTATATGAGTGTCATATGAAAGATTGTGAAAAATTCTTTAACTTGATATAATTTTTAGAAAAATCGGAGCACAAATGAAAAAGTTATTTTGTTTTATAAAAAAAACTAACCGTATGGAAACAAGTGTGATCAAAAATCAAAATGGGGCAAAAGATCAAATGACATGGCTAATTGGCCATATGGGGCAAGCCGTGTGATCTATCAGAAGTTCAGAACTAAAGATCAAATTTATTTACTCCATAATTTTTAATTTAATGCTCCGTAATTGAAAAGGTCATTTTGGTCATGGAAGGGTTACGTAAAGTAAAATGGGGCTGCGCTTAGCAACCCCCAATGAGATTTGTTATATTTTGGGAAATGGAA